GAGCAGCCCTCCTGCGCTCTGTGCTTGCTTGCTAGATTTTGGCTGACGGCATACCCTTCTGCAGAAATAAACCTTGCCTTGCTGAATTCCTTTTTAGCATATGAAACACTACTGTATTACACACTTAAAACCAGATGGTAAATGTTATATTTGCTACAAGCAAAAATAAAAATAACAGAGACAGATAAAATGTAGACTTATTGCTCCCCGACCCTTGACTTCAAATTACTATAAACCCTGAAAGCAACACAAGAGACATGGAAGGGAGCCATGAGGGGTCATAAAGGCGAAGCCTTGGGACTTTGGGATTGGAGGAACAGCATACTGACAGAACATCTTACTACCTACCCAGCAGGTGGCTCAGCTTCACCATCCCCTAACCTGGAAACAGAAGCTATCCCAGGTAGACTCGTTCCTCCTTGAGCTCAAACAAACCCTCAAGTGACAATAGCTGAGCTCAGCACCCCCTGCCTGGAGGATCCAAACCTAGCACTAGTCTCACCAGACCTGGCAGATAGCAACACAACTAAGCCAGGTGCCCATGCTTCACACCTGTAATCTGAGATACTCAAGGAGGCTGAAATGTGAGGATCACAGTCTGAGGCCAGCCCAGCAAGAAATTTTGAGAATTTGCCAATTAAGCACCAAAAAGCTGGTAGTGGAGCTGTGTGGCCCAAGTGGTAGAGTGCTAGCTTTGAGCAAAAAAGTTCAGGGACAGCACCCAGGTACTAAGTTTAAGCCCCAGAACTGGCAGGGAAAAAAATCTGAATGATATCCTTAAGAATGACCTTGCTGCCAGGCGCCAGTGGCTCACGCCTGTAATCCTAGCTACCCAGGAGGCTGAGATCTAAGGATCGAGGTTCAAAGCCAGCCTGGGCAGGAAAGTCTATGAGACTCGTATCTCCAATAAAGCACTAGAAAACCAGAAGTGGCACTGTGGGGCTTGCCTTGAGCTGAAGAGCTGAGGGACAGCACCCAAGCCCACAGTTCAAGCCCCACGACCAACAACAACAACAAAAAGAATGACCTTGCTACAAAAGGCCCAACCCATGGAGCCTCTTTTTCTCTGTAGACATGAGTCTCCCCTCTCCAACCCAGAGATGACAGAGCCTTGTCACACTAGCACCTGACCAAGGAAGCAAGGCAGATCCTGCCATAACAAATATCAGTCCAGGGAGCCTCTTCATCCCCATGGACCTGGATCAACACTAATGTTCAGTCTGGGAAACCCACTCTATTATTTAGTCCACCAACAAGGACCTACAGAAGTCCCAGTAACACAGAGAAACCAAACACATCAAAATAATGCTGAAAAGGATCTAATAAATGCTCACTAGAACTAGAGGCCATAAAATTGTGATCTGCATGCTAACCTAAACAAGGTGACTGTTAAAAGATTCGAAAAATAAACTGGGTTTGGTGTCTCAAACCTATAATCCTAGTTGTTTAGGAGATTGAGATCAGGAAATTCCTCTATATTTTCCTACGGATTGCAGAGTCTGAGTTTTTGTTATTGGTAGGTTGGTTGTTTTATTTCTGTATTGAGACAGCATTTCATTTTGTATCATTGAATGGTTTTGAACTCTCCACCCTCCTGGCTGTGCATCCCAGTTGCTGGGATGTACCACTTCACCTTACCTTTTTTTCCCCAAATCTTTCTAAATTTTTTTTTTTTTTGGGTCCAGTCATGGGGCCTGAACTCTGGGCCTGGGCGCTGTCCCTCAGCTCTTCAGCTCAAGGCTAGCGCTCTACCACTTGAGCCACAGCGCCACTTCCGGCTTTTTTTTCTTTTTGCTTATGTGGTGCTGAGGAATCGAACCCAGGGCCTCAGGCATGCAAGGCAAGCGCTCTACCACTGAGCCACCTTCCCAGCCCCATCTTTCTGATATTTATGCTGAGCCACTTTACCAGCCTTGGTTTGCTTGTTGATTATTTTTTAGATAGGATCTCACTTCCTGCCCAGGGGCACACCTGTGTATAAATGCCTGTGTTAGGCTTTCTCATTGTATGGAGGTTTCCCCATCATTGCTCCCAGCTCTCATTTAAGTAAAAGTCTCATGAACTGCCTAATCTGTGATCTGCCTAATCTCACCTCCCATTTCTGCTTCCCAAATGGTTAGAATCACAGGCATGAGCCACTGGTACCTGGCTCTTAATTTTATTTTTATAACTCTAAGGGGAGGGGAGAAACAGAGAGAGGGCGAGGGAGAGAGTAGGATGAAAGGAGAGAGGAAAGGAGGGAGGAGGGAGGGAGAGAGGGAGACAGACAGACAGACAGACAGACAGACCCTGTCTCCAAAAAGGGACAAAACAAGGAGGAAGGAAAGAAGAGGGGAGGGGAACCAAAGGATGAAGAGGGGAGAGAAGGGGAAGGATGTTGGTTTGGTTTTGATTTTATTCTGGCCAGCGGGTTCATTGGATCCACTGGGGAAAGAAAGCGATTCAGTGTGGTTGAGGAAGCAGTAGGGATGATTATGGAAAATAATAAGCCAGTCACAAAAACACTCATACTAAACAATCGTACTTGTTTGATTGCCTTAGTCAAATTTTAAGAGATGGAAAGTCAAATGGTGGTTGCCAGCCTTGGGAAAGAGAGGTCTAGTTTCAGAATAGTTTCATTTTTGCAAGATGAAGAAAGCATTGGAGATGAGTTGTACAATGATGTAAACATATTACTGAACTGTACACTTAAAATGGCTAAGGTGGTAAAATTTCTGTTACATATATTCTACTAGAATTTAGGGGAAAATAGCTAGAAGCTTTCTGTTACATTTAATGTGCCCAACTTCCCCTTGACATGTAGATGCACTTATATTTCCCCTTTTCAGATGAGGAAACTCAGGCACAGAGATACAATATATTTTTTAAAAGAATCCCGTTATGGGGCTGGGAAGGTGGCTCAGTGGTAGAGCACTTGCCTTGCATGCATGAGGCCCTGAGTTCAATTCCTCAGCACCACATAAGCAAAAAGAAAAAAAGCCGGAAGTGGCACTGTGGCTCAAGTGGTAGAGCGCTAGCCTTGAGCTGAAGAGCTGAGGGACAGTGACCAGGCCCAGAGTTCAGGCCCCATGACTGGACCCACCCTCAAAAAAAAACAAAAAAAAAAAAAACAGAAAAAAAAGAATCCCATTGTATCTTAAATCATGATTTTTTTTTTCTTATGCCTATTTTGAGTTGTTAACTCTAGGTGCTCTACCACTGAGCCACATCTCAACCTCTGGCTTTTTGCTGTTTAACTAGGCCCAGAGTTCAGGCCCCACGACCGGACCCAAAAAAAAAAAAAAAAAAGAATTTACTGGATTGTGTGCCAGGGCTGGCTTAGAACCATGATCCACAGATATGCCCCCCTGAGGAAATAGGATTATAGATGTGAGCCACTGGCTCTAGACTCTCACACTTTAAAAACAGAACAAGTTGCTGGTGGTTCATGCTGTAATCTTAGCCACTCAGGAGGCTGAGATCTGAGGATCACAGTTCAAAGCCAGCCTGGGCAAGAAAGCCCGTGAGACTCTTATCTCCAATTAACTACCAGAAAACTGGAAGTGGTACTGTGACTCAAAGTGGTAGAGCACCAGCCTTGAGCTGAAGAGTTCAGGGATAGCACCCAGGCCCAGAGTTCAAGTCCCATGACTGCCAAAAAATAAAAACAGAACAGGGCTAGGAAGTTGGCTCAGTGGTAGAGTGCTTGCCTTGCATGCATGAGGCCCTGGGTTCCATTCCTTACCACCACATAAGCAGGAAAAAAACAAAACAGGAAGTGACATTTGTGGCTCAAGTGATAGAGCACTAGCCTTGAGCTGAAGAACTGAGGGACAGTGCCCAGGCCCAGAATTCAGGCTCCACGACAGACACAAATAAATAAATAAATAATAAAAACAGAACAAAAAAATCTGCAACATTACTGTATATTTTTTATTTTTGTTAGATTTACATATATATATAATGAAGTTTGATCACATATCTCCTCACTACCATTTTTGTCACTTTTACTCCTCTTCCTCATTCTAAAACGTGTAGCAGTTGTCTTTGTGAGTGTAGCTTATTTGTCATAACATGATGATCTCCATTTTTATCCATTTCCCAGCAAATGACACATTTGCACTCTTTTTTATGGCTGAATAATACTTCCATTGTTTATACATCCTATTTTCTTTTTTTGGGGGGGGGTGGTCTGGTCGTGAGGCCTCAACTCTGGGCCTAGGCGCTATCCCTCAGCTCTTCAGCTCAAGGTTGGTGCTCTACCACTTGAGCCACAGTGCCACTTCTGGCTTTTTCTGTTTATGTGGTGCTGAGGAATCGAACCCAGGGCCTCATGCAAGCAAGGCAAGCACTCTACCACTGAGCCACCTTCCCAGCCCACATCCTATTTTCTTTAGCCATCTATCCAGGGATAGACTGTAAGGCTAATTCCATAACTTGACTATTGTGAATAAGGTTCACAATCAACATAGACATACATACATACATATATATAATATATACATATATATAATTAAATAGTTGGCAAACCACCACTTAAATGATTCCATGAAGACTTTGTCACTTCTGTACTCTATCACTCAAGAATCCGCAGCAGTCTCAGAGTTCTGGGAAGAATGAATTCTGTCCTGCCTAAATGTAAGTACTATGATACTGTAATTACACAATTACTATAATTATCAGCATTCATGCATGCATATTTTATACATATACCCTTAGCCTGTTTAGTTTTTAAATACACAATCTTTGTTTTTTTTTGTGGTAAATGCAGTTAAAATATGTTTGTTAAATAAAACATATATATAAGTATGTGAACAAGTATATGTTCACGTAATTCTTCTGGAGTGTTTTTGAGTTATTTTTTAACTTGAAGGTAATCTTAATGCCATTCAATTCACAAATATACTCATTTAGATACCCAGTCCAGATCTTCCTCCACGCCTGTGAGGAGAGCGGCAGAGTCACTGTCCGCCCTAGGATGGATGCATCGCCTTGGAACCACGGCCAGCCACACCAGGACCATGCCTGCGGAGAGCCGGAGCGGCCCCATGGAGGACCAGGTGGAGATCCTGGAGTACAACTTCAACAAGGTCAACAGGCACCCGGACCCCACCACGCTGGGCCTCATCGCGGCCGGAGCCGGCCTTTCGGAGGAGGAGACCCAGAAATGGTTTAAGGAGCGTCTGGCCCAGTGGCGGCGGTCTGCAGGCCTGCCCTCGGAGTGTAGATCTGTCACCGACTAGGGAGATGGTGGACACTGGCAGCCTTGCTCCAGGAAGACCATCTGCTGACCACCTGCTGTTTCTCACCTCAGCTTAATCAGCCCATTTTGATTTTTCAGGGCAGTGTCGGAGGCTGATCTACTATTTAACACAATGTTGTAGTTTTTTTTCAATGTATGTGACTAGAAAAGGACATGCCAACAGGAAACTCACACACAGCTTCCGTGTCATGCAACGGCTTAGCCAGGAAAGGGGTGTGATGTACATTTACTTCCCCTTGTATCTCTGTGACAGATGTGTGGAAACCATGTAAGTTTGCGTTTGAGTCTGCATTTCAGAGCAAGCAGAGCTTCTGCTGACAAGATCAAAAGATGGAGAGTCCAAGAAGTTTCCTCATGAATCTGCTTCCCTGAGTTGTATTCACCACATTTTATTTAACAGAGATGCTCTGGTGCAGACGCTGAAATGCACTTGAATGATTCACGTTGCATAAAACAGCATCTTGGCTGGAGAGTTGCAGTCATTTGGAAATATAGGCTAGAAGATAGAAACTCCAATGGGCTGATAAACAAGTCACTTAGAAAACGACAGGATTATTTAAATGCCTTTGTTAAATTTATTTTGCTAAATAAAACGAACTGCTTTTTTCTCTAAAATAAATAAATAAAATAAAATAAATACCCAGTCCTACATATCTAAAAACACACTGCAAACATACAAGTATCTGGTCTCTCCATATCAGCCTGTATTCATATCATGGTTTGGAAATGAGAAGAATCTCTCCGAGTTTTTTTGTTTTTTGTTTTTTGTCGGTCATGGGGGCTTGAACTCTGGGCCTGGGTGCTGTCCCTCAGCTCTTCAGCTCAAAGTTAGCATTCTACCACTTGAGACACAGCACCACTTCTGGTTTTCTGGTGGTTAACTAGAGTCTTAGGGACTTTCCTGCTTTGAACCACAATCCTCAGATCTCAGCCTCCTGAGTAGCTATCATTACAGGCATGAGCCACCAGCACCTGGCTGAGAATCTCTTTAAACTGCAAGTTTGTAGTTGTTTCTTTACAAAATAGGAATGAACAATGATCTTTACTCATTAACTTACAAAGAAACACCTTAAAAACTCATTTTGTATAAGTTTCTGAACTAAACTGTAGAAAAAGTTGGATGCCAGTGTTTCATTCCTATAATCCTAGTTACTCAGGATCACAGTTAGAAGCCAGCCTGGGTAGAAGCAAACTTTTAAGACTCTGGAAGTGGAGTGTGGCTTAAGCAGTAAAGTGCCAGTCTTGAATGGAAAAGCCAAGCCAGAACATGAAGCCCTGCATTTCAGCACCAGTATCAGAATAAACATAAATTTTAAAAAATTTACATAAAAACCTAAACTGTGCAAACATTGAAAAATTAAAACTTTACATAAAAAATTTACATAAAAACCTAAACTGTGCAAACATTGAAAAATTAAAACTTCATTCTTTATTTTTGACACCACTACAATTTACAAGGAAATATACCTGATGTAAGAGAAGAAAAAGACAGAGAAAGCACTACAACAGATAAAAGGCCTCAGGAAAGTACATAATTGACAAGCATTCTTTTTTTTTTGGGGGGGGGGAGATCCGGTCGGGGGGCCTGAACTCTGGGTCTGGGTGCTGTCCCTCAACTTGAGCCACAGTGCCACTTACGGCTTTTTTTTTTCTTTTTGCTTATGTAGTTCTGAGGAATCGAACCCAGGGCCTCATGCATGCAAGGCAAGTGTTCTACCACTGAGCCACCTTCCCAGCCCCTCTTTTTTTTTTTTTTAACTGTATTTTTTTTGTGTGTGACAAGGCATTCTTCAATGGTTGCACTTTTTGCAGACTGTAGCTCTGATAGTCCTGAGCAAAAATTGTCCTGACAATTGTCCTTCTGTGGCAGATTTTACAGTTCTTTTAGTGCATTTGGGACAACTATCCCAAAGTAACCTGCAGCTTTCCTAATACCTCCTCACTCTCCCACTCTTGATCTCTCAAGAACTATAGTTCTTTTGCTATCATTTAAAAACTCTGCCACTTATCCACCATCAGATCCATAAACACCACCATATAGACTGCCAAGAATGTCTTCCACCAAAACTGCCCCCTTAATGAGAGCACAATTTGATTGCTGTTGTTCACTATAATTTTCAAAATGGAAACGATTCCCACCACCACCCAAATTTCTTTCTTCATTGGAACTATATATTTTCTTCCATCATAACTGCAACACTATTCACCACCACGTTTCCATAACATGGTCCACCAAAGCCTCCTCTACTACTGTAACTAAAACACCACTATGGTTGCCACAGTCACCTCTGCCAGAACTACCTTTGCTGCCACCACCTTCAGCGTCATCCCCTCCTCCTCCTCCACCAAAGTTCTACCATATCCAGAATTACTGCCACCACTTCCAGTTTCCTCCAAGATCAATGCGGTTGCCAGATCCACCTCTGTGTCCCAGCAGACTGCATCTGTCATTCAGAAAAAGCCTCTCTCACTTCTTCATTATATATTTTTCTCTTTTTTCTCATTTCATTATTATGCTTATTGATAGTGTAGCATTTCTGAACAATAATTTGAGACTATTTTTTTAAGTATTTTTAGGCAATCTAGAAAAGCTGTTAAAAAAACAAAACACTGCTAAGTGAAGTTTTGCTACCCTCTGCTGGAATGTTTTTGTATATCCTCCTGATATGCAGGGGACATTATTTTAATCCTGGTTTTCAGTATTAAATGATTAATAGGTACAAAGTTTAGAAGGCACCAGCTCAATGTTTGGTACTATTCTGGGACTCTAAAGTTTCAAGAAAGTATCTTAGGTATTGTTCAAGTGTATGATTAAAAAGTATTTTTCTAAATATATTTTAACTATTTTTACCATAAAAGTAAAATTGTGCCAGGGATCTGTGGCTCACATCTATAATCTTAGTTACTAAAGAGACTAAAATCTGAGTGATTCTTATCTCCAAATAACCATGAAAAAGCCAGAAATAGAGGTGTGAGTCTAGTAGTAGAGAACCAGCCCTGTTTGAAAAGCTGAGAAAGCAGAATCCAGAGTTCCAGCCCCAGAGGTGATATGTGTGTGTGTGTGTGTGTGTGTGTGTGTGTGTGTGTGTGTGTGTGTGTGTGCATACGCGCGTGTGCATACATGTTTAAATATACTAGCATGGTGTTAGTTGCTCACACTCATAATACTAGTATTCAGGAGGCTGAGATCTGAGGATTGAGGTTTGAAGTCAACCTGGGCAGAAATTTCCATGAGATTCTTTTTTTTGGGGGGGAGAGGGGTCCAGTTGTAGGGCCTGAACTCTGGGCCTGGGCGCTGTCCCTCAGCTCTTCAGCTCAAGGCTAGTGCTCTACCACTTGAGCCAGAGCGCCACTTCTGGCTTTTTTCTTTTTGCTTATGTGGTGCTAAGGAATCGAACCCAGGGACTCATGCATGCAAGGCAAGCACTCTACCACTGAGCCACCTTCCCAGCCCCTCCATGAGATTCTTATTTCCAATTAACCGAGAAGTGGAGCTGTGGCTCAAGTGGTAGAACACCAACCTTGAGAGGTAAGAGACCCTGAGTTCAAGCCCCAGTTTGGGCACACACATACACCCTTATCTGTAGTCCCAAATATCTGTAATTTCCCTTTTTGTTTATTTGTTATTTATTTACTTGTGATACTGAGCTTTCTGCCTGCTAGGGCACTTGAACCACACCCTCCTCTCCAGAAGCCGAGATAGTTACATAAAATTCTGCATTGCTGAAAGACTGTAGTAGGGGGAATATGGGAAAGGACAGTAACTGTTTTGTTACTGTCCTTTATTACTGTTTTATTTGTGCTCTTTTTGGTGGTGGTGGTGGTTTTCTTTTTTCTAAGGTGCTGGGATATAACATAGGGTCTTGTACATGCTAGGTTCTACTACTGAGACATCTCTTTACATTTTTCCTTTAACATTCTTTTACATTGTAGTATAACCTTGGTTTGCATCTCTACTGACAATTATCATTGATGGTGCAATCCTAAGCTATCTTTATCTAGATTTTGTCTAGATAAAACTGGTTTATTTCTTCTATTCTACTTAAAATCTACCCTCTAGAAAAAAGAGCTAGACTGATCCCTCTAAAATGTTAGAACACTTGCCTGTATGATCATGGTTGTCAGTATAAACCCCAGCACCACCAAAAAAGGAATAAAAAATGGCTACTCAGGAGGCTGAGATCTGAGGATCATGGTTGGAAGCCAGCTTGGGCAGAAAAGTCTGTGAGACTCTTATTTCCAATTAATCAGCAAAAAGGCAAAAGCAGAACTTTGTTTCAAGTGGCACAGCACCAGCCTTGAGTGAAAAGCTAATGGACAGTACTCCGGCCCTAAGTTCAATCTCCAGTATTAACACTTGTATGTGTGTGTGCTCGCAAATGCACACACTTGTACGTGCGCGTGCGCGCACACACACACACACACACACACACGTTATATTTGGTTGGGTCAGCCTTCATTGTCACCTAAAATCCTTCAACTCTTTTCATTTGCTAACAGGATCAAGTAAATCTCTGTCCTGTAGTAATTCTGCTGAAGCTTTAAGAGGGTTCCATCTACTTGTAGCTTTACCACATCACCATAGCAGTTAAGCTTTCCAGAGAAAACTTTTTCAGTGTCTCAGCAGTGATATCTCTTACTTTTTTTTTTTAAATCTGTCGTGGGGCCTGAACTCTGGGCCTGAGCACTGTCCCTCAGCTCTTTAGCTTAAGGCTAGAACTCTACCACTTGAGCCACAATGCCACTTCAGGCTTTTTCTGCTTATGTGGTGGTGAGGAATCGAACCCAGGGCCTCATGCATGCAAGATAAGCACTCTACCACTAAGTTACCTTCCCAGCCCCCCTCTTACTTTTTTCCTCTGACAGAACTCCCTACCTAGATTCTTTTCATGCTGCTGGATGCCTCTTGCCTAGACTTTCCCTAATTCAGAGGCTGTCTCCAAAAATGGCTTTAAGAGGGCTGGCTCAGGGGTAGAGTGCTTGCCTTGCATGCACGAGGCCCTGGGTTCGATTCCTCAGTACCACATAAGCAAAAAGAAAAAAGCCAGAAGTGGCGCTGTGGCTCAAGTGGTAGAGCGCTAGCCTTGA